AGCAGTTTTGGCTCTGGAAGGAACGAGATGTAACATCACGTCATGCAGTTTTCTTTCTATGAGCTTAAAAGCAGCTACATGCTTTATCCTGGCACTTATCAGATTTATCACCTTAATCAGACATGGATCTCTTTCAAAATCATTGCAGTTGTGTGTGTGGTGCAGTCAGACACCTCTGTGTCTCCCAGTTGGGTTGCCTCACAGCTTCCCATGCCAGCACTGAACCCCAAGCCAAATGCTGTTGTCATGACCAGAGCTGCATGTGTGTTACTTTTTTGAGATCTTAGATAAAGGACCTTATAATTTCTTGTAATGAAGACCAAATTTAGTTCCAGGCTTGTTTCAGTGTGCTGTGGGTGTAGATAAAGTGTTGTGTTTCAAAATGAGGTTGATGACTGACATTTTTGTCTGTCAGTGTTGGTAGCTGCAGATGTCTGAAAGGTGGGAAAAGCTGTTTTCCTGGGGTGTTCTGCACCAATGGTGGCATGATGGCAGGAGAAAGAAATCAGAAACCAGTCATTTCCAATCAGTAGGTAAGAGAAGATGGAACTTCTATAACCAATAGTTCTAATTTGCTCAGAAAACATGGAACTTGGGTAACAAATAGTTCTAATATGCAAATCTGTCGCAGTGTTTTGGTGTTTGGTTGGCTTTTTAGTTGTTGAAAAGTCTTCCTTTCCTTCCCCCATTTTATTTTTCATGTGCTCCCCCTATTTCCCAAGGAAAGTGAAGGTTTTCTCTTAATCCTTTTTCCCCCCTTATTCACTCCCTGAGTTTTGCAGGGGTGGCTCACAGATCAAATCAAACAGAGGAAGGCATGAGAATGGCAGTGTTGGTTTTGAAGAAAAGGGGAGGGGGGGGAGCCAAGGAGCTATTTTTGTCCTTTTGGGTAAGTTGGAAGTGTCACTTTGGGCCCTTCTGATTTGTTGTAGGGAGCACCTGATGATGTCAGGTGTGTTGCATTTCACTTTTTCAGCCCTTAACACACATACCTTTCTGCCTAGGTATTTCTAACTCTTATGTCCTGAAGTGGTATTTAACAAGCTTAACATAAGCATTTGCAATTATCTTACAGCACCTGAAAATTGCTTACTAAATGACAGGAGGAAGTTCCATTTGCATTCCATATCTGATGTTAGATCTGCTAATCCTCCCCAGGAGTCTGCCAGGAAAAACAAGGTCGACAGACTTGAATTTTATTAAGATCAGAAATGGAGCAGCCTGCTTCCTGCTCTTCTGTCACACAGTTGAAAGCCTCCTGGTGCCTGTTCATGATTTCAGCCATTGTGTTCCTCAGCAGTTTCTTGAAATGTGCTTCAGTGAAGCTCCTTGCAGAGCACACAGCCCTTCCCACGTGGGTCTCCTTCCCTCACCCCAGGAAAACCATGTCTCCACGTTTGCTCTTGTTGATCTAAGTTAATTTCTATCTTCTGACAGGTTTTTTCCTGCTTTAATGAGAGCTCCTAATTGGGCACAATGAAACCTTTGCTCCTGATAGTGGATAATATTCTGTGCAAGCAGAGCAGAGATAAGAGACTACGAAGAAAATAAGCATTTAAGAGCTTTGGATAAGCTATGAAAGCTACTTTTGACCACTATTTTCCCATTTTATTTGAGAAGGACTCCTGGTGCAGCTGTGTAACCAAGACTGTGTCAAACAACAGCCATTATTTCTTGGCCTGGTTAGCAAACAAGGACACCTTTGAGCGCAGCAAATGGTGAGGTCAATTTTCTCTGCTCCACACCACCTGAAGTCTCACTTTTTGGGTGTTTATACTCTCTAAAATTTTCCATTTGGCAGGAGCTTCCCTGGGGAGAGCAGAGGGAACCTGGGGGAGGGGAGCAGGAGGGTGGGTGGCTTTGCAGAAATCTGGCACAAGTGTAGTGGAGCCTTTTCTTTCCTCTCCAGGTGCATCAGATCAGGTTACAAACCAGGCTCCCCATAAAGGCAGATTTTCCTCAGCCTTATGGAAGCTGCAGAAAATACACATTGAAGTGGCAAATGTTGCAGTGTTACACATGGAAATGCTTCAATACTGTGTCTTCCCACGTGGAAGGAGTTAAATGCTGTTGAGCTGCCAGAAATGCACTGACATTTGCTGTTGGATTAAAACCATTTTGCCAATTCAAAAGTGACTTGCTTGTGCTATTCAAGGGGCATAAATAAAGCTGCTTTGCAAGGAAACCATGAAGAAGGATGTTGACACTAGAGGCACACAAAGGTTCTTCTCTTGCTCTTACCTGTGCATTAAGGGTCTGACACTGCCTTGTTGGAGTCAGTGAGAACTGGATCCCAGGTTGTCCAGGGACACAGGAGCCAGGGAATGTGGGGACCAGGAACGTGTGGTTCTGAAAACTGGTACCTACTTGTACTGGAGTTCCTGAATTTTTAATTCCACAATTTGGCATCACTTTCTGTACTTATTATAAAAAAATATTGAGTTAAATTAAATATGTAGCAGCTCTGGCTTGGAGCTGGTTCTTTGCTTGCAACCTTCAAGGTGTCCTAGCAAAGGATGCAGAGATTGGGATGGTACCAACATATTTCTGTGTCCCTCCCTCCCTGGGCTAGGGGACCAGTTTGTCCCCAGGTGTCCCACTGGTAAGAGTAGCTTGTTTTTGTGCAGCATCACTGGCTGTGCCATCCCTGTCTTCCTCTGAGGGGCTAGGGGGAGGCAGGGAAAAGTGGCTCAGCTCAGTTCCACCTTGCTGTTCCAAGCAGCTCTCATTTCTTTGTGGAGACTAGTGGAATCAATGGGATGAGTGTAAGGATGAGCCAACACCTCGTTGTTCTGCCTTTGTTCTCCAGTAATGGATGGCAGGAGTTGTCCATGGGAAAGAGGAGGAAAGGACAACCTGGAAGGTGAGGGATAGGGGGGATGTGTCTTCTCCATCAGACAAAGGGGACATTACTGACCTGCTGGTCAGAACTGCCTTTCATATTCTGTGCTTTGGGGGTGTTTGGGGGTTTGAATCACCACGGAAGAATTTTTCTCTGCATAGGAACAAGGATCTCCTAAGTCAGCCTTTGTGCATCTTCACCAGTCAGTTTTTTCTCAGATTGGCTATTTTCGTGGAAAGGGTAATTTAATAGAAGTCACTGTAATGTTTTGTGCTTCTGGTACCTGTGGCATCTTACATTTGTTTAGCATTTTGCAGCAGTGATGGGGGTTTGACCAACCTTTTCGTGTTGCTGTTTCAGTAAGGAATGAACTGTGGGGGGGCCTGTTCCCTTCATACTTTGCTAACACCCTCTAACCTGGAGGCTGATGATTGTCTTTGCTCTTGTAGGTCCCCTTGCTGCTGATTAGTGCTTCTATTTTGATCACAGCATGTGTTGAAAGCTTGGATGTCTCTAGAGTGTGAGGGATGTAATCATCTGTAATAGGGTGATCCCACCCAGGTTGTTGCCTGAATAATGGTTTTTGCTTTCAAGAGAAGTAAACTCATCCTCCTGGAAGGACTGAGCAGTCCCACAGCTTCACTTTTTGTCTTTCATTTGTCTTTTTTGACACGGGGGTATCTCAGGAAGGAGAGAATCTGCATTCTGCAGTAGAACAGAACTCAGTGGGGCAGAGCCATTCTGTGGAGTTCAGGTGCTTCTTTGGACTGTTTTGTTCTGAAACCCACCACAATTCTATCTTAACTTTTAATATAAATAAAGACATGGAGTGCTTCAGCCAATTAGTTCCTTCAGGACAGAATGATGATGCTCAGTTGCTGTTTGTTTTCCACAGATTCTTCTTCTTAATCCTTCTTTAGATCCTGGGCTGTGGTCAGCAGAAATCTGGACCATCCACAGCTAATAGTCTTGGAGGTGTGCTGGCAGGAGAGGTGTGCTGTGGCCTTCTCAGGACCTGATGAAATACATTCATAAAGCTGTGATTTGAAAAAAACAACAGAAAGAAATCTTCAGTAGGATGGTTGAACTCCCAGTGCATCAAGTGGATCTTTCAAGTCATTTGTCTGTCAATTAGGGGAAAAAAATCAACAACAAACAATCCCCCAAAAACCAAACCAAAACCAATAAGAAAACAAAGCACCAAAACCCAGGCAAAAAGTTATTTCTGAATGAAGGTGCTTGGCAGCTCAGAGCCACATCTCTGGTTTGGCTGGAGCCTTCTCCACCCGGGCTGGTTTCTCCTGCTGGGAATTTGCCTGGGCAAGGTGCTGCTTGAGCTGCTGCTTCTTGATAGCTCAGCAAGGGCTGCACATCACTGCAGGTTGCCTGACCTCTGTGTGTGCACACCAAGCTGACCAGGACCTTCAGTCATCAGCTGCTGTTCTCTCTAAAGCCACAGCAAAGTACCCACGGGGACCCAAACACACAGAGCACCCCAGAGCATCTGTCTCATCTCCCTGAACCTCCTGCTTTGCAGGTGTCCTTAACTTCTGTGCCATCACCAGGCACTTCCCTAACATGCCCTTGGTTTGCACTTAAAAAGAAACTCATTTAATTTACACTCATGATCTTTAGTGCTGTGCACTCTGTGCACTTCTAATTCAGGTGAAGTTAATGGACATACTTACCTACAACAGGTGGGGAATTGGTTTGGGGTTCTAGGCTGTTGCTGGTAAAAATGACATTTGTCTGCATCTTGCTTGCTTTCCTGGTGTTGCAATATTGGCTGTTTCAAGCAGGATGTAGAGGAGCTCAGTGTTGGTGCTGATTTGGAGGGAGGCTTGGAGGGGCACCCAAGGTGGGCAGGGCTGGGCTGGACAGACACGATGGAGGGAGTGATGGTGACTTTCTGAAGCCTGAGGAGGCTGCAGGGCCCGGTGCAGGAGGCTGGCCAGCAGAAGGCAGTAACTGCTCAGCTTTGCACTGGGCATCATTCCATGCCTCCTTGCATTTCCCACCCTCTAGGGACTGAAAGTTCAAGCTTTCGGGAGAGGTTCGTAGGAAATGGGGAGTCCTGCTCGCTCAGCTCTTCGTGCTTCCCTCTGAATGCTGTGTTCCCTTTCCTTCCCAGGCCTCAGAGCTTTGCTTTCCACTCAGCATGTTGTTGTTGTTCTGTCACCCGCTGGCCGGAGCCTTCCTGCCCTTCCTCATCCTCTGGGGAAACTGGGTTTCAGCTGAGAACATCAACTTCCACAACGTGAGACCTCCACTGGACCGTGAGTAGGCAGCTACACTCTGATTTTCTCTGCTTTTGGAGCTTAACACTGCAGGTAGTTGCCATACCCTTCCAGCCCTTGGCATTTTAGGAGTTTGTTGTCTTCAGAGGTGGAAGAGTTTTAAAGAGAACCTTTGCTTTTCCATCTGCAGCAGTTCAGCTTCTTTCTAGGATTTTGTAAGTTGGCTGAATGAATTGCTGAATGAAAGGCATCAGGGCAGTGGTTTTTTTGCATTTTAAGTGCTTTTCTTGTGTTTTCCTGTCTGTGAAATACCTTCCCACAGAGCAAATTATGCAGGGGATTTCTCATAAATAAGTCAGAGCAGGTGTTTTTGTCTTTTTATCTTGTTGGGGTTTTTGTAAGGGAAAGAATAGGTGAGCTGTGTGCAATTAATTCAAGCTGAAGGTAATTAGAAACCTGGTGAGACCTGTGAAGCCAGTTGTCACTAATGGCATCATCTTTTTTTGCCTCTTATCTGGCATCAGGAGTGTTCTCTCCCCTCATTGAAGAGGGAGAAGATTTTCATGATCACAGAATCATTGAAACAGTCAGGACAGCTTGAGATAATGGGAATGCATGTGCATTTAGGGAACTGTGCATCTTAAAGTCACTTAAAATCTCATCTACATAATATAAATATATAAAATAGTCCTCTAGAACCTAAAGAACCCCTTTTGTCAAAGGGTTCAGATTTCAAGACCTGAAGCTGTTTTTGGAGATGTAGTTTTTCCATCAAAGGAACCAAGAGCTATTTGATGTAGATTGTGTTTCTGTACCTGTCCAAGCATACCTGTGGTTGTGCTATCTTGTGCATATCTATATAGATATATAGATAGATATGAGATTTTTCTCTTTCCTGTTTTCCCCACCACTGCTTAAATGGTATTTTGGGTTGCCAGAGAATGAAAACAGGGGATGTTTCAAAGTTCAGGCAGAGCAAAAGCAGTTAGAAACGTAGAAGCTCTCTACAAAACTTGTCTCATAGGCTTTATTTGTCCAAAGAGATGTGTCATGGGAAAGTTGTAGATGGATGCAGTATGGTTTTGTGTGTGTGTACAAACACAATATTGTTTTGAATATTTAGTTTTATTTCTAAGTATCTGCAAACTTACTCTTATTTTAATACTTTTCAAGCCACTCCGTTTCCAAACAGCTTCAAGTGCTTCACCTGTGACAATGCAGTGGACAATTACAACTGTAACAGATGGGCTGAAGATAGATGGTGCCCTGAAAGTAAGTGCCTCTGTGCTCAGGAGATTCTTTATGACAGTTACATCTGCTTTTCCCTGGCTTGGCCACCTTGTGGGTGAAGAGGATGCACATCCCAACACACTGGTGCCCTCAGTTCTCTTATTAGTAATCCTGAGCCACATGTTTTCTGCTGAGGGTCATATTGTGACCATTTCAGAGTGCAAAGCAAGAGTGAGAGAGTTCTTTTTATATATATGGATGTAGAAACCAGTTTTTTATAATCTAGAACAATATATTAATAATATTAACCCATACAAATATATTAATATTAACCCATACTAATATGTTGATGGTATAATAATAAATTATATGCTTGTGTGCCTATATGTAGGTAACTATGTGCTTCCCAGGAATTAATTTTACAGATGTTATTTAGGAAAAGAAGTAAGAGTTGCCTTTGTAGCCTTATTCCCTTCCTTTTGGCTACCAGCCCAAGAGAGAATGTTTTTTCTAGCAGCAAGACCTGAATGACTGGGCAGATACACACAAAAGAATGGAAATTTGTTTCCTTGTTTTTATTTGCAGTGAAATTCAGAGTCACAGTGGGAAGGGGGAAGAGCTGATCTAGAGGAATGAGGGAACATGGCTGAAAGAAAGAGAACAAGAAGGTGCTGCAAAAAAATATAGTAGAGAACGGAAGAGAAATGTGTGGGTTATAGTGCTGATAAGTAGTTTAATTTATAACAGCCTTTCTAGAGGTTTGAAGGGTCAGTTAAGTTCTAAGATGTCATCACTAACTGGTTTCTTGCTGGGTGGTGTTCTGATCAAGTTGAAAGGTGGCTTTTTGCTGCCCCAGTTAAGTGATTTTTATGGGCAGGTGTTGCTGAACTGGGGGAAACTTCTTAAACCCTGCGAGTGAGTGCGTCCTTGGTGCAAACCAGGCCTTTCCCCTGCCTTTGTTTTGCAGGTACTCAGTACTGCTTGACAGTTCATCTCTTCACAGAGCACGGGAAGAGCACGTCGGTCACCAAGAAATGTGCCACGGGAGAGGAATGTCACTTTGTTGGCTGCCACCACCACGGGGAAAGCGGCCACACAGTAAGCACTGCTCTGGGTGTAAGAGCAGCTCGTTGGTTTGCATTTCAGTACCTGTTTTCCCTGCTGAGCTGAAGGGGATGTGCCAAGACACCCTCTCCAGCCTTATCCATCAATTCCTTCACAGCTGAGATGCTTAGCTGGGTTATTTTTAACATGAAAGATGTCAGGCACAGCGAAGATGAAGCAGGCGGCACCCGTGTTTGAATAGGAAGGGATCTGTTTGTTTTCTGAATCAACTTCATTGATATCAACAGGTTTTGGTGGACTGAGGGCATGGAATAACTATGCAGCCTGCCCTCTGCTGCCTTTGATCTCACAAGGGTTCTTGTGCCCTTGGATTAGATAAAAACTGGCATTAGTTTGGCTTTTCCAGGAAGGAGTGTCAAGTAAGGCAAAATTATTTTGGGGTTCCCTCCTGCAAATCAGCTGTGTCAGGGGTTCTGTGGCACCAGAGGACTGAGCAAAGCAAGCCTGAAGATCATCAGGCAAAGCTGCACTGAATGTAACAGCTTGAGGGGAAGAGTGAAGGGGAGCAGAGTTTTTACAGTCAGAGCTTTTTAAGCTGAGAATTTAAATATTGATGTGCACGTTGGCAGCTGACACGTTGGAAGGGGAAAGTGGTGGAAAGCTGTCACTGCAAGGACACTGAGGGGCTGGAGGGTGTCCAGAGGAGAGCTGCCAAGATGGGGAAGGGTCTGGAGAACAAGTCATACAAGGAGAGGCTGAGGGAACTGGGGATGTTTAGTTTGGAGAAGAGGAGGCTGAGGGGAGACCTCATTGCTCTCTACAGTTGCCTGAAAGGAGGTTGCGGGGAGGTGGGTGTTGGGGTCTTCTCCCAAGTGAGCAATGACAGGACCAGAGGAAATTCTGCAGCAGGGGAGGTTCAGATGGGATGTGAGGAAGAATTTCTATGCTGAAAGAGTGGTCAGGCCCTGGAACAGCTGCCCAGGGAGGTGGTGGAGGCACCATCCCTGGAGGCATTTAAGAAACCTGTAGCTGTGGCACTTCAGGCCATGCTCTAGTGGGCATGGGGGGGGCTTTTTGTGAGCTGTGTGTCGTTGGGTTTGTGGGGGGTGTGGTTGTGGTTTTGTGTGGGCGTTCTGTTGTTTCCTTTGTTTGTTTTCCCCTGGGTGGGTGGTTGGGCTGGATGGCCTGGGAGGTCTTTTCCAACCGTGACAGTTCTGTGATCCTCTGTGTTCTGCAGCATCACTGAAGCTGTGGGGACAGCTGAGCTGGCTGTGTTACCCCACAGTTCCCAAGCCTAGTGACAGCCCTAGCTGAGGAGCTGCTCTGGGAAGGCTCTGGTGCACCATGTGCAGGACAAGTCCCCGCACAGATGCTCCGTAGCCTTCCCCAACCCGTAGGAAACCGCGCCCGTCCCCGGCAGCCGCCGCTGAGCTGCCCAGCGACCTCCCCTTCTCCCCACAGGAGTGCGTGTCCTGCTGTGAGGGCATGATCTGCAACGTGGAGATCCCAACCAACCACACCAACGCCGTGTTTGCCGTCTTGCACGCCCGGAGGACGTCGGGCGGCAGCGGGAGGAGGGTCAGCGCCGCCGCCCTGCTGGCCGCCCTGGCCGCCCTGGCCTTGTCGTGACACCAAGTGCCCTCCCGACACACCTGCTTGAGAGGTCCCACCCCCCTCCCCGTGGGCCTGGGAACCCCCGAGGGAGGCCGTGTCTTCAAGGAGAAGTGCTTCTTAGTGACAGAAAACTGCAGGGGACGGTGGAAAGGCCCGGGGTGTTCTCGTGAAGGTGCTTCACGCGGGCTGTGGTGCTCAGGAGAAGAGCAGCGCAACAACCTGCTGGCTGACCAGGCAGTGGGGTGGGACTCAGGCTGGTGCAGTTCACTCTTCTGTGATGAGAATGCTTGACATGTTCTTTTTTTGAAAGGAGAAGATTGTCTGCAGGCAATCACTTGGCCAGGTGGGATGAAATGGAACTTTCCACGGGCGATGTTGCCAGCAAGTCCCTCGAGGAAAACTCTCTTTCAACTGCTCTTTCATTGTGCATCAATAAGATGGAGTTTCTTGTCTTGATATTGCCCCCCTCCCTGGCAGTGCTGAAGGGCAGGTTGGATGGGGCTTGGAGCAGCCTGGGCTGGTGGGAGGTGTCCCTGCCCATGGCAGGGTTCTAAAAATTGTGAACTGTTCAAGCACCTGAATTAGAATTCTTTCCCCTCTGTTTTTCATTGCAATATTGGGCGTTTTAATGGAGTTTCTTTGCACAGTTGGACTCTTTGACTTCTTTATCATTTACATGACTGGTCGTGTAGACCAGCAGGTCCTGAAGTGCCTTCTCAGTAGGGTTTTACATGAGCCAAAATCCTGAACAATTTCAGCTGCTCCTGTTGACCCAGTCGTGCCCAACCATCCCCAGGAACTGTCTCTGATGACCTCAGAAACTTGCAGCACAGCTGAGGATTTCACCCAGCAGGGCTGAAGAAATGCATCTCACTTTTTTTCCTCTTTTTCTAAATTATTTAGTTCATTTATTAATATTATGAATCAGGCAGATTGTTCTGATCTTTTTGTAAAGGCTTTTTTTTCTCCTCTTCAACGAGATGGTTTAAATTCTGAGGAACTGCTGAAGTATTTTTCAGGGAGGATGGATCATTAAAACTGAAAAGTAGAATCCAAACTGCTCTCTGAAAAAATCAAGGAACTATATGTTGGGTGTTGTCTTTTTTTAAACATAAATATCAGCTTCATTGTTTGCTATTTTATGTCACTGAATGTGTTTGACTAGCAGTGGAAAAATAGATTCTTGAAATGTTGTTGGTTTTGTTTACATTCTACATTTGCTGATGTGATATTTTTAGAATATATCACTTAGCCTAAAAGCCAGGCTGTGGTTTGTTGACAGGCAATTGGCTACAAAAATGGGCTGGAAACACTTTTTCCTTGCCTATGCAAAAGAGTTCTTGCTGTCTAAGCCAGGGTTTTCCAGGCTCTGGGTTCTGATGGCCATTTCTGTGCCATCCAACAGGCCATGGAGCTGAGGATGGTGAGAACTTTGAGGGATTTTTTCTCTCTGTCCAGGGATCATCCATCCCTGCCTCTAGGCTTGATCTTGGTGTCAGACACAAGAACGAGCACGTCCCGTGTTTTGCATCATTAAACACCACTGGTTTGCTGCTTGATCTACAGGGTACTTGAACTTGTTCTTGTAGGAAAATCATTCCAGGTTTGCTCTCTGCTTAACAGGGAATTCCTTAGGGAAGTGAAAGCAAGTTGTCTTCCATGTTTCAGGTCATGTTATTCTCCTGGTTTTGCCCTGGGTGCTCCCATAGTTCAGCTTCTGGGAATAATGATTGCAATTTTAAAGCCTTCAAGTGCCCTATAGTCTGATAAGTATTTACTGCAAATAGCTTACAATAAATGCAGACTTTTGTTTATTACCACAAACACCAATCCAGAGTGCTTGGAATTGCCAGGGAGACTCTGGAGAGCTGCCCTGAGGGAGGACCCAGTGGCAGAGGGAATGGGCTGCAGGTTCTCCAAACCTGCCACAGGACCTTTTGGGAGGGGATGTCTCTCTCTGGGTGTGTTTTCCTTGGCTGAACTGAGTATTTTATGTTGTTTTTTTTTATTCCCACACTGCAAAAGAAAGCTGCTCATCATTTAAAAGCTTCATGCATTGGGTAAAGAATTGTTTGGAATTTAAAAAAAAATAATAAATGGAATAATTCCACTCAAGTGCCAAAATAGTGTCCTTGGTTTTCATTGTCCTCTTCTTCACAGTGACAGGAAAGACAGCACCGTGGGTGTATGAAAGGATTTGGTGTTGCCAAGAGTTTATTTTTTAGCATAGTAGAATTCCAATAGTGGAGGATATTGAGGATGAGTTCTAGTCCTCTTGGTGCACCAAAACCTTTGCTATTGCAGACTTCAGGACTGTTGTTTCTAGAACAATGAATATGCAAAAGCTGTCACTGCAGTTAATGCTGCACCAAGAGGCAGAAGAAATGGGTTGGCTGAAGAAATAAAGAGAGTTGAAGAGTGAATATCAGTTTCACCCTTGGCTGCTTCTGAAGTGTGTGAAAACCTGCATGTTTCTGCCTACACTTTATTGCAGGGCACTATTAAATGCTGACTTTGAAGGGCCAGCAGTGAGTTTGGGCAGTAGAGGAAACAGTGCTAAAATTCACAGTGTGCATGTTTTGGGGCTGACTAACGAGTGGCTGTGGGGGCAACTGCAACCTGAACTTCTGGGCAGAATGTTGGTGTTTTATGAAATAGATTGAAATATCAGCTGTATTTTCTCTTCAGTCTGAAGGAGTCCCTCTGTCTGAAGTACCCACTGAGGAGCTTAGGAGAGTAGAACAATGAATATGCAAAAGCTGTCACTGCAGTTAATGCTGCACCAAGAGGCAGAAGAAATGGGTTGGCTGAAGAAATAAAGAGAGTTGAAGAGTGAATATCAGTTTCACCCTTGGCTGCTTCTGAAGTGTGTGAAAACCTGCATGTTTCTGCCTACACTTTATTGCAGGGCACTATTAAATGCTGACTTTGAAGGGCCAGCAGTGAGTTTGGGCAGTAGAGGAAACAGTGCTAAAATTCACAGTGTGCATGTTTTGGGGCTGACTAACGAGTGGCTGTGGGGGCAACTGCAACCTGAACTTCTGGGCAGAATGTTGGTGTTTTATGAAATAGATTGAAATATCAGCTGTATTTTCTCTTCAGTCTGAAGGAGTCCCTCTGTCTGAAGTACCCACTGAGGAGCTTAGGAGAGTTTTGTTTGATTTGAGAATAATAATAATAATAATAATAATAATCCTCAGGCTCTCCCTGCTGTATTTCATTTCATCTTGGTCTTGGTTCACAGATGTGGTAACTGAAATAGGTGTGACTTGCTAGTGCCTAAATCAGCCACACAGCCTTGGATATGCCATGTCTGTGAGTGCACAGCCATAACCTGCCCTGCAGAAATGTGCTTGCTGGTTCTTCTGGCCACATCCAGCTTCCAACAAGAGCAGGTCAAGTGCTGCTTTCTCGCTCAGCAGTGGGGCAGGGGGTTCTCTCCAGGGACACCAGTGGGTGCCACACACTCATCTGCCTCTGTGGGCAAAATTATCCCTTTGTATTGCCCTGAGAACCTGGAAAGAATTCATGAGTGATGGCAAGTTCACCAATTTGTGCAGCTGAGGAAAGATCAATGTTGTTTTATAAGGTATATGTGTAATGATGAATTATTTTACAGTCTAGAAGATTTCTTCTTAAAAGCTTCTCTGTTTAGTGTTGCTTTGCATGGTGCTTTCTTACTGCTGTGTTACTGTTGGAAGTCTTCTCCAGAAATGGCACTTTGCATTAAAAATAGGGAAAGATTAGCTGGTGGGAAAGATTTGTTGTGAGAAAGATAACAATCCTTTCACGGTTCTTTCAGTTGTTTGTTGGGGCTGAGGGACCTGAGCTGAAATGGCACCGAGGGCAGATTCTGCAGCTCTTTCTCTTCTGCTGTGTGCTGGGCAGCAAGGGAGCTGCAAATCAGCCCTGGTGGGTTCAATTTCAGTTTCTAGATGAGTGCCACCCTGCTCTCCTGGTCTTCCAGTAGAATGTGTACCTGGCTTTATGTTGCAGGTGCTGCTCCACTGAGGAAAAGATCTCAGGTACCATTATGGCTCATGAATGTGTGCATATCTCTGTGTCCTGGGGAGGCTGCTGCAGCTAAGGAAACACTGGCTACATCCTAGTTTAAATGAAATTCTGTCATGGCTCCAGGACACTGTTATCATTTTGTCTGCTTTGATGTTTACCAGTGGTGGCTTCAGGAGTCTCCTGTGATGCCAACCCTGCCTTCTTGGAGGGCAATCTGTCCTGCTCCAGCCAGGCTGTGCCCAGAGGCACTTAGAAGGCATGAAGAGAACTGGATTTAATTTGCATTTCTGAAAATGGGATTGCTGTCATCATTAGTGAAGTCGTTTGAAGTCCAGCATTTGCCATCTGCCCCCTTCAAGGGCAGGTTGGAGGGGGCTTGGGGAAACCTGGGCTGCTGGGAGGTGTCCCTGCCCATGCAGGGGGGTGGGACTGGGTGATCTTTAAGGTCCCTTCCAACCCAAACTGTTCTGTGATTTTATGATTTCTAAAAATGTGATTGATGTAATAACTGGTAATTTTAAGTATAATGCTGTAGTATTTAAATTGAGACAAAATGTCCTGAGTTGGGTAACTTGGGAACATTTTATATCTTCATTCCTTTCCTTATTGTTTAAATATTAGTGCTTTTAGTCATGGTACACAGTCAATGTTTTAATCAAGAACTGTGCTTTTAAATATTTGTGTTCATTGTAGCCAAGAAGTCTGCGGAGTCAGTGTTTTGGCCAATTAAGCTTTAATCAGGACAGAATGTTTCAATGTTAAAATATACAAATTGCATCTGATCCACTGGCATATGTTGCCTTTCTTGTTATGGCACTTGGCCTTTCTTCTTAACCTAAATGGCTCAGCTACAGCCTTTCATTTCTAAGTAACAACATGAGCCTCCCATTGCCAACAGAGCTGTTACAAAACCAGAGTGAACACTGTCTTTATAGAACATCAGCTGTGTAATAGCACATCTAGTGGGCACTGTCATGATTCTTCATTTATTTACTTGCCAT